TAATAGAAAGCAAATACACAACATGAACGGTCTCATTGTACGTTGATTATTGGTGGCAATAATAACAAAACTTGGTTGATAGGAATGGAAGTGCGTGGAAAATAAACTCAAAATACAAGGGAAATTCGACGTTTCGAGCGAAGGCCCTTCTTCGGGGAGTCAGTAGGCAAATTTCTCGACCAAGAACTAACTTCCTGACGAAAAAACTTCGCTGGAAACGTCGAATTTCTCCCTACATTTTTCAAGTACATCACTATCAGCCATTCTGTTATATAAGAGTTACCATCTAGCGCAAACATGGCTTCCACAATAATGAAATATAAAGCATGAAACACTGTTGGTTTGGCAAAACAAATGGCGCTGCGAGAAAGATGTATCAGTTTCTTCTGCTCAAAAGAGTCCATCTCTATTCTCTTCCAATAAGGGTGGATTAATCTCATTTTTCGTTCATGTTTTTGAGTTTATTCTAACGATTGCGAAATCTCGCGCATCAATAATTTTTGTTTTGTAAAGTGGAAACACCACATGAACTTTTTGCGAGCTAAACTTTGATACTCGTGTTGTTTACAACCTGCATCTCTGAATATTCACATTTTTATAATCAGAAATTCTGTAAGAACCGAGATATTGTACAGATTCAATAAAGAAAGACTCCAGGGAACAACTGGGCGATATTTTTATCGATATTTGACCGTACGGGCAAAAATCAAAAGCTGAAACCATGTCTAGCAAATGCGACTTGTGCAACAAGATATTTTCCCAGAGAAGCTCTTTGCTAAGACATAAAAGAACACACACTGAAGACAAACCTCATGAATGTGATGTTTGCAACAAAAGATTTTCCCGGTCACCTGCCTTGACTGTACATAAGAGAACACACACTGGAGACAAACCTTATGAATGCGATGTTTGCAACCAAAGATTTTCGCAGTCAGCTCACCTTACTGAACATAAGAGAACACACACTGGAGACAAACCTTATGAATGCGATGTTTGCAACAAAAGATTTTCGCAGTCAGCTCACCTTACTGAACATAAGAGAACACACACTGGAGACAAACCTTATGAATGCGATGTTTGCAACAAAAGATTTTCGCGCTCAAGCACTTTAACCGTTCATAAGAGAACGCACACTGGAGACAAACCTTATGAATGTGATGTTTGCAACAAAAGATTTTCACACTCAAACACATTAGTTAGACATGAAAGAACACACACTGGACAGCAACCTCATGAATGTGATACTTGTAAGAAGAAATTTTCATGCTTGAGCAACTTAGTTATGCACAAACGAACACATACTGGAGAGAAACCTTATGAATGTGATGTTTGCAACAAAAAATTTTCACAATCGGGCAACTTAGCTACCCATAAAAAAACACATACTCAAGATAAATCTTATGAATGTGATGTTTGCAACAAAAGATTTTCGCATTCAGGTCACTTTACTGAACATAAGAGAACACACACTGGAGACAAACCTTATGAATGCGATGATTGCAACAAAAGATTTTCGCGCTCAAGCACTTTAACCATTCATAAGAGAACACACACTGGATACAAACCCTATGAATGTGATGTTTGCAACAGAAGATTTTCACACTCACACTCCTTAGTTAGACATGAAAGAACACACACTGGACAAAAACCTCATGAATGTGATGCTTGTAAGAAGAAATTTTCATGCTTGAGCAACTTAACTATGCATAAACGAACACATACTGGAGAGAAACCTTATGAATGTGATGTTTGCAACAAAAAATTTTCGCAGTTAGGTCACTTTACTGAACATAAGAGAACACACACTGGAGAGAAACCTTATGAATGCGATGTTTGCAAGAAGAGATTTTTATGCGCGGGCAACTTAACCAAGCATAAAAGAACACATACTGGAGTCAAACCTTATGGATGCAATATTTGTAAGAAGAGATTTTCACAATCAAGCCACTTAGCTACTCAAAAGGGAACACATACTGGAGACACACCTTTTGAATGTCACGTTTGCAACAAGGGATTTTCAGAATCACATAATTTAACACGACATAAAATATCAGCACACAAGGTAAAGCAGTGTTTTGAGTGCGCTAAATGTAAGAAAACATTCACAGAACATAAAAGTCTCAAACGTCACTGGAGAGTACATTCAAGAGATGGCTTATTATTCTGCAACAGTTGTGGCAGGGAAATTATTCAAGAACAAGGACATGTTGGTGAGATACTGAGTGGTGATTATCTTGTGTGTGACAAGTGCGACAAACAATTCCCTGATATTGAAAGTTTATATCAGCACAAAGCCAAAGACCATGGTACGTCCTACCAATGGGATGTCTGTAAGGAATTAGACGCAAAAGAAGCAACTGGCATTGGTTATATCTGTTGTGTCTGCGATGCCGAGTTTGAAATCCCCACCAAACTTGAAGATCATATGAGTATGCATGACAATGTGCTGCCCCACCAGCAAGGCAAGATAAATTGAAAATCGCTCGTTCATGTGGGTGGTGATCTTCTGCATGTGATCACTCTTACTCTGTTTACACTTTTCAATTGCCAGCTCTCAATTGCTGTCACATGTGCGTTTTCTCAACTTTACAGGAGATTCAGTTCTCTAGCAAAAGGTTCCATATTGTCGATATGCGAAAAGTGCATCATATTTTCAAATATTAATATTTTGGAAATATCGATATTTATCAAAGATATATTGATATATCGCATCAACCTAGCTAATGTGTTGTGTTAAAACCTCTCTTGAAATTTATTTGAAACTGTTGTGAAGTTGTTTGAGATTGTTTGAAATTGGTTGAATTGTTTAGAGATTCTTTTGACACAGTAATGCAATGAGTCAATGTAACTGTTTATAAATATGATTGAAAGGTGATATTGATAATTGACTGTAATGCATTTTGAACTAAAGTCATTGTGTACATATCTGGGTTTTTTGTTAGAAGTTTGTTAAAATAGTGTATTCTTAGTATAATAAGATTTGGTTAGAATAGTAGTACTTTGAACTTTGTCTTTGTAATTCATTTTGTCATTGTCAATTTTATATCTATTTTGAAATTCGATGTATCTACAAGCATGCATGGGCGACACCAGCCGCATCTGCAAGGAGGAGTGCTGGTTCTCCATGGGGTGGTGCATGAGGGAGCCTTACTGCCCAATCTCCTCTGTAGTCTACAACGGCTGCCATCCGAACATCACCATTATTTGAGATGGTCGAATCTGCATGTTAGCCGTTGTTATGTTTTATATTATATTGACGTGTCTATATCGTCTTTTTCCATGTATGCGTGATTGGATAGCTTCTGTAGCACAGTGTAGTAAATCTGCTTGTTACACTGGCTGCAGCCTGTCTCATAATTTATCCTTGCTGAAAATGCTGGGAATTTTTCGTGTTTTTTTTTGTTGTCGCAGGTGTGACTTTCCATTGCGGCATCCTTGGCTCAGGATTGCGCAATTTAGCTAAAACATGCTCACGACTATTATTAGGTCCAATTCTACACAATGTTAATCAGAACGACTTTCGTGTTAAACTACGTTCGAAATCTTAGACGCTGTAATTGTGTGATGTATTTTATTATATTTCATTGCGCATGCGCTCGAACTTTTCTGTGTTTTTCGATATATCGCTGACTCTATTGGCTTTGTATCGATTATTTTGTGCCGTCCTCTGAATGTTTGTGATCATGAAGTGACGGCGGTCAAGAAGTGAAGAACATCTACATGTTTCAAATTATTTGTTATGTATTGCGATGTTATTTTACCAACCGCGCGGCCAGTGTGAACGCCTGAGCAGGCGTCTACATCTTGTTAAAGTACAGTATATGGCTGTATAACAACCTTAACATGTTTATTATTTAGCCGTGTTATTTAAATATAAACATTCTGAGTATTGTACGGGAGTATCTAATTGGAGCAGGTAGCGGGTCGCGGGTATAAGGAGCGGGTAATTAAAAAAGGAGCGGGAAAAAGAAGCGGGTAATTAAAAAAGGAGCGGGTAATTTGAGTAATTGCCCAGGTGCTAAGCGCTTGTGGGAAATTTTAAAGAAAAAAAAGACATTTTTTTATGAAAGTGTAACAACATGAGGACCATTTTTACTAAACGAAACCATTGACTTCACATAAAAAATCTCGAAAATTCTATCAAATGTTAAATTGACAGATATTTAACAGCCTGAACATGTCTTATTATGACGTGCTGAAAATACGTACACACCAGCGCAACGTTTTTGGGTCACCAAACGGACAAAAATGATTATAACATGCACAAGTGCTACTCAAAACTCTACAGTCTGTCTCAGCTATTGCCTCACCAAACTGTGGAAAACTATGAACATATTGAACGCGGTTTGCACGGTTAGGGTTTAGGTTTGCAGAACACCATTGAACTTATTCAGAAACTGATAGTGGTGTAGCATATAAACACATTTTTAGACCACACGTACAATAGAGCAAAAGTTTCCAAACACAGGGTGTTTTAATAAGGCGCTCACGTTCAGTTAAAACCAGTGAACTCTAAAACCCCGTTTGCACTACGCTCAATTTTTGGTACGGCACGGATAAAATCGGTACCCGTATTGGTACGGTGGTTCTTTTAAGAACCAAAAAAGTGGTACGTTACAAAAATTGAGTGTAGTGTAAACGGGGCTTAAGGGAACTGGAAAGATAACTTAGCTGCGATCTTTGAAGCCACTCATGATGGCCGCCATGTACGTAAAGCATGTATGTATTGTATATAAAAAAACGGATGGCTAAAAACTTGAAATTCGGATAAATTTATAGTAAAAATGGTTTATAGTTTCCTTTGCTCCATAGATTTAGTAATGCATTACCACAGTTTGGTGAGGCAATAGCCGAGACAGACTGTAGAGTTTTGAGTATAGCACTTGTACATGTTATAATACTTTTTGTCTATTTGCTGACCCAAAAACGTTCCGCTAGTGTGTACGTATTTTCAGCACGTCATAATAAGACATGTTCAGGCTGTTAAATATCTGTCAATTTAACATTTGATAGAATTTTCTAGATTTTTTATGTGAAGTCAATGGTTTCACTTAGTAAAAATTGTCCTCATGTTGTTACACTTTCATAAAAAATGTCTTTTTTTTTCTTTAAAATTCCCCACCGGCGCTTAGCACCTGCGAAATTACCCGCTCTTTTTTTTTAATTACCCGCTCCTTTTAGCCGCTCCTTTTTTGATTATCTGCTCCTTTTACCCGCTCTTTTTTTAATTGCCCGCTCCTTTTACCCGCGACCCGCTACCCGCTCCAGTTAGATACTGGCCCATTGCACCTCCGGGATCTTACTTTGAAAATAACCATGCTAATAGCATTGCTCTCTGGTCAACGTTGTCAAACCATTCACGCGCTGGATATCAGTGATATACAAGTGGCATGTCATCCAAACCAGCATAATGTTTTCTAGATAAACAAGCTATTGAAAACCTCAAAACCTGGGAAACACTTCAGCCATTTGACGCTACAAGCATAACAAGCAGATCAACAGCTATGTATTTTCAAAACTATTCAAGTCTTATGGTCAAAACGAAGCCCCTTAGAGGCAACCGCTGTCAACTGTTCATAAGCTACCAGCAGCCAGATAAGCCGGTGACAACTGATACCATTGCAAGGTGGCTGAAAACAGTTCGAATTCTGGATAAACCAAGAATCAACACTAATATTTTCCATGCACATAGTACCAGAGCAGCATCAACATCTGCTGCAAAGACGCAAAATTATCCGTTAACACCATCATGATGACGGCAGCTGGGTGGACACACGCTTTGATATTTAGCAAATCTATGATCAACCGGTTATTTCAGAATCTACAAAGAACTCTGACATAACTTTATGTAATCATTAAATACAAGAAATACATGCATGAATGCATGCAACTACCCTCGCTTATATTTTCCCAACATTGTTTCAACATGAAGTATTCGTAATTACGCCAACACTGAACGCAGGCTCGTGTTGCACGTCATGTTACTCATGGCAACACGATAATTCTTTTTTTAATTTTAAATTTGTACAAATCGGGAAAAATAGATCAAATTTAAACACTCTTAAATACAGAACTATCAATTTGACAATTTCTAAAATATATAAAGTAGGTATAATATTTTGGTTTCTGTGGGATTTATTATAATGTAAAATTCAAAACGAAACTCTACGTAAAACGTTTTTAAATGTGAATTGAAATCAACTGCATTTTGCCGGTGTTTTGTATAAACTCTTCAACTCGAATTTCAACTTATTACTCGCACTTTGAAATAAAATAAATTTAATTCGTACAGGACGCTGATGAAAATAATTTGCTTTCCTTTTTATCATAAACTTCTACACAGGTTAATTTATTAACTAAGAAACATGCGCAAACAATGCATAGGAAAGACTTGAACATCCAGAACAAAAAACTTGCCCTATACTTTAGGTATTCTCATTTCTCAAACTAAATCAATTCTTATAAATGGTCACGTTTAAAAATGGTAAAAACATTTTTCAATTTGTTATGTGAAACGGATTTTCCAAGCTTTCTGACATGCATTTTTTATAATTGTTTGCCTCTTCACTCCGCCAACGAAACCACGCACGGTAACCCACGCCCGCGATCATTGATGAACTTTAGACTTCGCTAATGCTTTCGTTTCCCCGGGTGTAAATAGCCGTGCAGAATTAGTACCCTCGCCCCGGGCTTACGCCCGGAAGGGCAATTTCAGTTCCTAATAAAAGTTCCTTGTTCGATTTATCGATAAAGAATTTGCATAGTTTCATGCTAATGGCCATTGCTTTCAAATCTCACGTGACTTCGTAGCGACGAAGACCAATGGCGAAGTGGAATTAGAAAATCATACGAGACTTGAAACTGAAGTTAAATTGAAAGTATGCGAGTCATTGGTCAGGTGCGAAGAAGTCACGCACCCACCCATTCACATTATGGATTAGCATAAACTGCTATCAATAATTACCCTACCCGCATTACAGCAGTTCTTAATGTCTGTTTTCCGCTTCTGTTCAATTGTACCGAAACATAGCGTATTTCTTTGTTTCCTGAGCGGTAGTGTGGAACTAATGACTTCGACACAAAAGAAAATGCTGTGGTATGTTACGATACGGTTGAAGTGAAAAACGGGCGTAATGGTCATTCAGAACGTATCTCATTGTCATGCGGATCAATCCAGAAAAGTCAATTGCACATTGTGGTAGTGGTAAGCAATTTTATTTCTCAATTTAATATAATATTTTAGCATTTTTTGAATTTTGGCTATATATATTCTATCATAGTAAACTAATATAAAAATGCAACTATACCCCAACAACAACATGTGAGCTTCGGATGACTCAATCTTGTTCCGCGAGCCTGCAATCCTCTGGAAGGAACACGAGACCCTGGAATAATCCGTTTCAGGGAGGAATCTGATTGCATGGCCGTTGATATGGAATGCGCAGTTCGGTCTTAGCCGAGCCTGCGTAGCCGTAG